CCCCGCGGCCGGTCTGAGAAGGCCCCGGGTGGATCAGACCCTATAAACCAGGCTGTTGTGTGGTGCACGAAAAAACAAATACGAGCCCAGCCGGCTGCCCCGGAAAACTGCTTTAGGTGCTTGCCCAGTGCCAGTTAAAGATGCCAGGGGCTGTTGAAATCCCCTTTGTGTGCTGGGAGGCAGTTGAACAGTTGGGCCCCCCTGCACTTATTGTATGGTTCTTAACGGCTAGTGCACCCCTGCTTTTCATTGGGGGGGTTTTGCATCGTTGCCAAGTCTTTTGCTTTCGTAGTGGGTGATTTTCGTGGAGTTCGGTACTAGCCCTCAGGATTTTCCGGTGTTATAATATTATCTCTCCCCCGGGCCCCGGGGAAATACAGGTTTAGGACCTCAAGCGTCCAAAAATTGGGTGTTTTATCTTTTATCCGCGCCCGGGGAAAGTTCTTGTACTTTTTCTGGGGTGGGAAATTTCCCCTCCCTTAAAAGGTGCTGAAGTGTGCAGCAATTTTCCCAGCCTAATAGAAAAGTAAACCTGAAGGGTCATCATGGGGGCCCCCCTAGTTTAAAGGTCTCATTACCCACCCTGTCATTTTTCTAGCAGATGCGATTGATACAATGTTTGGCCCTTAAAGGGTGAACCCTCCGACATGATCACTCCCAGGTCTTTGACGTTGGTTTTTGCTCTATTTTGTGGCCAGAATTTGTTTTTTTTCTTGATGAAGTTTTAATTTCCTCATGTTTCCCTATCGAGTAATTAAATTCTCATCGTTGAATTCTATTGTTTTTCGAAACCCCACTGAAAATTTGGTTGATGTCTGCCTGGAGCTTTGCAGTGTTGAATGGAAGACATGTCAGCAGTTGGGGTGTCATCTGCAAAGGAAGACGGGGTGGGGCTGACTCCTTGTCTAGTCGGATTAAGGATGGGAACAAATGGGGCGAGTATGTGCCCTTTTGGAAAGAGCTTTTCCCGTAGTTCCTCGGACTTTACTCTGTTTCGACTACTCTTGTGTTCTGTTAGTGAGGAAATTATGATCCACACCCACCCTTTTCCCGTTATTCCTTTAGCACGCATTTTTTGCCTATTACGCCATGGTCACCTTGTGAAGGCTTTTGCAAAATCTGTTATATTAATCTGCATTTTTTTGTCTTTAGTGCATTTAGGACCTTGTCGTAGTGGTCCAAAAGTTGAGACAGACAGGGCGACCCGTTCTAAACCCTGTTGCCCCGGGTTGGTAATGATGGGTTTCTAGATCGTGGTGATCTTGTTTTGGGGCCCTTTCAAAAATTTTTATGATATGGGATGTTAGTGCTATTGGTCTGTAGTTCTTTGCTGTTGCTTTACTGCCCCCTTTGTGGAGTGGGCTATGTCTGTTGTTTTTAGTAACTGTGGGACGACCCCGTGTCCATGCTCCCTCTCCATAGGATGGAAAAGGCTCGTGATAGGGGCTTCTTGCAGTTCTTGATGAACACAGAGTTCCATGAGTCTGGCCTGGGGCAGAGTGCATGGGCATGTCATTTATCGCCTGTTCGAAGTCATTTGGCGTCAGGATAACATCGGATAGGCTTGTGTTAATCAAATTTTGTGGCTCTCTCATAAAAAATTCATTTTGATCTTCGACTCTCAGTCTGGTTAGCGGCTTGCTAAAAACTGAGTCATATTGGGACTTGAGTAGCTCACTCATTTCCTTGTTGTCATCTGTGTAGGACCCATCTTGTTTAAGTAGGGGCCCAATACTGGACGTTGTTCTCGATTTTGATTTGGCATAGGAGAAGAAATACTTTGGGTTTCTTTCGATTTCATTTATGGCTTTTAGTTCTTCCCGCGATTCCTGACTCCTCTAAGGATTCTTTTAGCTTAAGTTCGATGCTTGCTATTTCTCTGACCAGTGTCTCCCTACGCATTTCAGATATATTGACCTCTTTTAGCCGCTCTGTTATTCTTTTCCGTCGCCTGTAAAGGGAGCGCCTGTCTCTTTCTGTTTTACATCTACTCCTCCTTTTTCTTAGAGGAATAAGCCTTGTGCATACATCGAGTGCTACCGAGTTAATCTGTTCTAGGCATAAGTTGGGGTCTGTGTTGCTTAGTATATCTTCCCAGCTTATATCGGTTAGGACTTGGTTTACTTGGTCCCACTTTATGTTTTTGTTATTGAAGTTGAATTTGGTGAATGCTCCCTCGTGACTAATCTCCTTATGTCGGTCTGGGGCTCCGCGCATACATGACTGAACCTCAATTATGTTGTGATCTGAGTATATTGTTTTTGATATGGTGATATTTCTTATCAGATCATCATTGTTAGTGAAGATGAGGTCTAGTGTATTCTCCAGTCTAGTAGGCTCTATTATTTGCTGGTTTAAATTGAATTTTGTGCAGAGATTTAAAAGCTCGCGTGAGTGTGAGTTTTCATCAGAGCTGCCCTCCTGGTGTTATTACTGCAACAATATTATTTGCTATATTCCTCCATTTTAGGTGCCTTAAGTTGAAATCCCCCAGGAGCAAGATATTGGGTGCAGGAGCTGGGAGATTTTCCAGACAGTGGTCAATTTTTAACAGCTGTTCCTGGAATTGCTGGGATGTTGCATCCGGAGGCTTGTAGACTATCACAATGACTAGGTTTTGGTTCTCGACCTTTACTGCTAAAACTTCACTACATCATTTGAGGCATTTAGCAGTTCTGTGCAAACAAGTGACTCTGCAATGTACAGGCCAACCCCCCCCTTTTGCCTGTTCACTCTGTCACATCTGTATAGGTTGTAACCTGGGATCCATATTTCGTTGTCCAAGTGATCCTTTATGTGGGTCTCAGTGAAAGCCGCGAACATTGCCTTTGCCTCTGCAAGCAGTCCACGGATGAAAGGTATTTTGTTGTTTGTTGCTGGCTTTAGACCCTGTATATTTGCAAAGAAGAATGTTATCGGACTGGTGGTATTGTTGGTACCGGGGGGGGATTTTTTTTCCGGCATTAGCCTGGTGGCTAAAGCTCCCGCTTCACACACGGAGGGCCCGGGTTCGATTCCCGGCGGGTGGAAACATTTCGACACGTTTCCTTACACCTGTTGTCCTGTTCACCTAGCAGCAAATAGGTACCTGGGTGTTAGTCGACTGGTGTGGGTCGCATCCTGGGGGACAGGATTAAGGACCCCAATGGAAATAAGTTAGACAGTCCTCGATGACGCACTGACTTTCTTGGGTTATCCTGGGTGGCTAACCCTCCGGGGTTAAAAATCCGAACGAAATCTTATCTTATTCCAATTCAAACAAAACAATGGCCACTGTCCCTTCTCCCCAGGCTGAGTTTCCCATTTTCTATGACAAATGTTATTGAATACAGCATGGCCATCTATATACATATAAATACTGAATTTCTGGAAAACATATACAGTATTTAACACAATATCCATGTGTAACCTACCCCCCCCCCCTTCATTCAGTTAAACTAATAAATCTATACAGTCCACAATTAATTAGTAGTGCCGTGCTATCCAATTTATACTGGACTCGGACAGATTAGATTTTGCCACCGAAGTGGCTAGTTTATTGTGCACCCCATATCCATCCTGTGGACGGTAGCGTGAGAGCATATGGATACACAAAAGGCCTAGGAACTAGGCCCCAAAGGGTTAACAGGAATACATATGGATTTATATCTACATATCTATAGTTCACTTATCTGTTACAAGCAAATTTAGGAAATTTGCTTAGTATATCTGGTATCTTATTTTCATTAATAAGATATCTTGACATGTCACATAGGTTATTATACTGTCTGTCTCTGTATTCCTCAATAAGTGGACAATTAAGCACATAGTGTTAAAGAGAGTGACCATATGCCTGATCACATAATTTACATTTAGTTTGATCATCATTTGTGTGTCTCCCAAACTGCCAGAAGTACTTGTAACCAAGCCTAAGCCTGGCCACTACAACATCAGTCAGTCTGTTCACATTGCAAGTTGCTCCATAAACATACTTATCTACGTTCATGTTATCATAGTGGGTTATAGATCTACTCAGGCTTCTAACTGCATTCCTATAACAATCATTTTCATTATTTACTTCTCTCCTAATATTATTCCTAATGCTAGACACAGTTATACCAAAGTTATATTCTACATTCTCCTTCTCGATACTCTTCTTGGCTAACATATCAACTTTATCATGAAGGAGTAATCCAATGTGTGATGGGATCCATAGCAATTGTACATTAATTCCTTTGTCCCTAATTTTTGAGTATCTATACCTGGCTTCTCCAATGAGCATGTTGTTGGAGTCAATATGAGTCAAGAGCCTTCAGTGATGACATAGAATCAGTAATGATGATAGAGTCAAGCTCAGTGTCATAGGTTAGCTTTAGCGCCATTAGGATTGCAAACAATTCAGTTTGCAGTGTTGTAGACGCCCAGTTGTTAATTCTTATGCCTAACTCAAATTTATTATCGTTCTTAACTAGGGAGGTGGCAACAAGAGCAGATGCAGCCCTGCCAGAAGACTCCTGTTTAGATCCATCAGTGTATATAACTTGTTACTACCAGCTAGGTGAGAAATTTCTTCTTGAGCAGTTGCTCTAACAAGAGATTTTAAGGAAGGGATTACTAGCAATGAGCTTCTTGGGAGGGACTTGTAGGTATGTGATATTAAATGAAAAACATCTTCCATGGAGGGGTGAAATGCTCTTGTTGCCTACAGTGATACAGTTCATGCAGGTTATAAAACTTAATGCAATTGCACGTTTCACAATCCATTTAGATCTGTGTGTATTTACCTCTAGACACTTGGTAAGATTCACTGTGACAGTGTCTGGTTCGTTTCTCAACATTCTAATACCGAGTACAGTGTTAATTTCAACAATCCTATCACTGATACTAGAAATACCAAGCTCCTTCCTCATGTTAAGAACTTTTGTAGATCTGGGACAGCCAAGAATAATCCTGAGAGCTTCATTTTGCATTAACTCCAAGGGTCGGAGAGAACTTTCTCTAGCTAATATCAACATGGGAGCAGCATAATCAATTAAGGACCTAACATAGGCTATGTACATCATTCTCACGATTCTCACATTTGCACCATAGTTGGGATTGTAGCCAGCAACAGCTTTGAGAGCATTTAGCCTAGCTTTACATTTCTTGTTTAGTTGTGGTATAGTGGATTTGTTACTCGGACAGATATGGATAAGATTGTGAGGATCGAGGGGGCCACCTGCAGTGACCAGAGGTGGTTAAGTTTTCTCACACGTCTACACGGGGTGACTGCGGTAAACGATATAGTTATTGTCTCCCAATGAGATTACTCGTATGTATGTGATGTTGAGGTACGTACAAGTGATCACCCCTGTAAAATTTTCCATAATAACCAAGTTCTGTAAACTCAGCATTGTAATCCTTATAGAGAATAAACTTTGAATTTGAAAAGACTGGTACCAATGTACAAACGACAACACTGGTGCCACTGTACCTTTCACGAGACTTGTACCACTGTATCATTGGCAGTACTGGTACCACTGTACCATCGACAACACTACTACCACTGTTGCTTATTTATATCTACATATTTTTCTTTCTTTGTCTATATCAGGTTTAATGTCTGTAATTTATCTATCGTGTTAGGTAGCTATATAAATAAAACCCCATTTTCTGTGCAGTGTCTGTCATATAGTGAGAGAATTTGTCACTAAGATGATGAACAGCAACTCATAAGAGAAGGTTGCTAAGCTGAACTAACAAGTGACGTCACTCAAAAACTCGCATTTCATTGGTAGAAATTGTGTTTACATCTAGAATTATAGCCAATCACAGTCAGGGTAAAGTACTCTAGCAGCATGAGTAACTGAAGGACTTGTAAGGTTAATGGTTGTTGTTGACGTCATAATGATTGCTCAACACTGCTGTTGCGCATTAGTGATCATAGTTAATTAATGACAGATTATTATTATAATCACTACTAAGGGCTAAACATGACAGCTGAGTCATTTAATCAGAAATATCCAATCACCATTCTCTTTAGAAGTCAGGTACTCATGCTGCTAGAGTACTTTACGCTCACTGTGATTGGCTATAATTCTAGATGTAAACAAAGAGTTTCTACCAATGAAATGCGAGTTTTTGATTGACGTCACGTGGGATTTATTCTGCTTAGCAACCTTCTCTTATGACTTGCTGTTGATTATTTTAGTGACAAATTCTCTCACTAGATGACACTCCATAAAAATACACAGAAAACATGACAAAGCTTCGTCATTACACCATAAATTGCATCTTTTTATTTTATCTCAATTCGCCAAGTAAATAATGTTCTTTCTTATAGATGGAGGATTGAAATATGAGTTGATACTACAACCACTGGATCATTGGAAACACTGTTCCATTGACAAGACTGGTACCACTGTACTATTCACAAGACTTCTACCACTGTCATTTGACAACAATGCTACAAGTGTACCATTAATTAACACTGGTAGTACTGCATCTGTGACAAGTGTTACCACGGTAAAATGGAGAACATTGGTACCCCTGAACCATTGAAAACGCTGGTACCTTTGTGCCATTAATAACACTGCACCATTGACTATGCTGGAACCACTGTATCTCTGACAACAGTGCTACTGGCAACACTAGTTCTACCTGTGTAGCTTTCACAACACTGGTACCATCGACACTACTACCACTCATGCTTATTCTATTTATATCAGGATTAATGTCTGTAATTTATCTATCGTGTTAGGTAGCTATATAAATAAAACCACATTTTGTGTGGAGTGTCATATAGTGAGAATTAACATCAATTCATAAGAGAAGGTTGCTAAGTTGAACAACTCCCACGTAATGTCACTCAACTCTGTTTACATCTGGAATTATAGCCAATGACAGTAAAGTACTCTTGCAGCATGAGTAACTGAAGGACTTGTAAGGTTAATGGTGATTGTTGACGTCATAATGGTTGGTCAACACTAACTTTCTCTTATGATCTGCTGTTGCTCACTGCTTCTCTATTAGTGATTGATAATTAATGACATTATTATTATAATCACTACTAAGGGCTAAATATGACAAAGCTGAGTCATTTAACCAATCAGCATTCACCTTACAAGTCCTCATGCTGCTAGAGTACTTTACACTCACTGTGATTGGGTATAATTCTAGATGTAAACAAAGAGTTTCTACCAATGAAATGCGAGTTTTTGAGTGACGTTATGTGGGAGTTGTTCAACTTAGCAACCTTCTCTTATGACTTGCTGTTGATCATCTTAGTGACAAATTCTCTCACTAGATGGCACTCTAAAAAATACACAGAAAACCTGCCAAAGCTTCGTTCGTCATTAATTAACACCATATATTGCATCTTTTTATTTCTTCTCAATTCGCCAAGTAAATAATGTTCTTCTTATAGAGGAGGATTGAAATATCCGAGTTGTCTTATTAGATCATTTATGTCTATCACATATTCTCTTTAATTTTAACTATGTAAACCAGGGGCTACTTGAT